ACTGTGGATTCCTCCTTTCACCAGCCCCTACTGAGCGAGGGCCGTGGCAAATGCTTGCTCCGGAAGTCGTTGTATCCAGTATACAACTTCTTCCCGTCCAAGTGATTGCGCACGCTTTAAGGAATACCTCAGTACCGATTGCCGGGTGGCGGTACAAGTCCGCCAACGGGCCACTTTAGGTCTATTTAACATCACTAATACGTAAAAAGAAGGTGGTAGACAAGGACCAGTCGACCGAGGCAGTACCACCCGCTAGCTTTTCCCAGGGTGTCTTATAAATGTCCGCATGTTTCCACACCTAAGCTATGCAGTCGGTTATCTACCAAAACAAAGAAATTAATGATGATGGATCCCTCAAGCACTAAAAACTCCGGACGTAAACTCACTCCACTCTCGGAATGTCCGGGTGGAGGGTGGGCTCGAGGGAACAACATCGAAGATAAAATTTGTTTTTCGAACATCTGCGGGATCAACAGCAACATTGATGCTGTTCATCACTACCTGCAATCCAATCGTCCCGCCCTGCTTTTCTTGGCGGAGACAAAAATCTCAGAGGCTGCACCGATTAACCATCTCAACTTCCCAAACTACGAGGTGCACTCCAATCTGAGAAAGAACGGGGGAGTTGTGGCTTTTATCCGCAGCAGTCTTTCCTGCTCCAGGGATCTTTCTTTGGAATCAGACCGGAAGGACATTCTGTGGCTTCGCCTCAACTCCAAAACATCACCCAAATTTATTTGCTGCCTTTATCGCTCTCCCTCGAACCATAACTGGGATGACCTACTCGAATACCTCGCCGTCCAGATCGACTTCCTGAACATCAATCACCCCGCTTCAGAGGTAGTTCTTCTCGGTGACTTCAATGCCCATAATGAGCTTTGGTTGGGCTCAAATAAGACTGATGCAGCAGGTCGTGCAGTCGAAGCGTTCGCTCTTACTCAAGGGCTGACCCAGCTGGTGACGAGCCCTACTTTTTTCCCCCGCGTCTCGTCACACGCCAGTAGCCTGCTGGATCTCTTTCTGACCACGCATCCTGCCCCTTACAGCACTGCCGTCCTGTCCCCCCTGGGTAACTCAGATCACGGTGTTGTGGAGGTTAGGTTTCGGTCAGAAGCCGATGTGGCCGCAGAAACTCGCACAGGCCGCAAAACTTGGCATTACGGACATGCCGACTGGGAGGGGCTCAGAGACTTCTTCTCTAGCTTTCCTTGGAGAGATGTCTGTTTCACTGACGCGGATGCGTCGACTGTCTGTTCTTCAATAACCGAAATTATCCACGTCGGAATGGAGGAATACATCCCTCACACAGTGAAAGTTCCTAAACCAGGGTCCAACGGCTGGTTCAACAAATCGTGTGACACTGCTCGCCAGCAGAAGATCAAGGCCCACAGAACCTACTTACAAAACCCCACTGTAGAGAACAGACAAGCCGACGTCGAGTCCAGAAACAAATATAACGAAGCGGTTCGCAATGCCAAAACCCAGCATGATATAAAAGTTAGGCACAGGGTAATGTCGCAGCGCAATGGCAGTCGGTCTTTCTGGACGCTGGCCAAGCAGATTGAAAAGAACTTCTCACACAGTAGCCTTCCACCACTTACGTGTCAGGATGGAACTATTGTATTCGACTCAAAGGCCAAGGCGGAAGTGCTAGCCAAGATCTTTGCTGCCAACTCCACCATGGACGTCCCCACCAGCGCCCAAGTGCCGTCAATTCAAAGGGTTCCCCACACTATGCGGGAGGTAACATTCAGGCATAAGACCGTAAGACGAGTGCTCTTGTCGCTCGACATCAACAAAGCTTCTGGTCCGGACTTGATTCCTGCCATTGTACTGAAGAGATGTGCAGCTGAGCTTGCTCCAGTTCTTTCGCGTCTCTTCCAGATATCTTATGAATCCGGCACCTTCCCAGAAAACTGGAAAATTGCTCATATACAGCCCATCCCAAAAAAAGGATCTAAAACCGACCCTTACAACTACAGGCCTATAGCTCTGCTTTCTGTTATCAGTAAAGTGATGGAGAGGTGCATAAATCGCGAGCTTCTGGACTACCTCGAACGTCACAGCTTGATTAGCGACAGGCAGTACGGTTTCCGGCACCAACGATCCACAGGGGACCTCCTAGCTTACGTCACGCAACTGTGGAGTAAACTCATCCAGTCTCATGGTGAGGCTCATGTCGTTGCTCTTGACATCACGAAAGCGTTCGATCAGCTGTGGCACGCTGCCCTCTTGAGCAAACTTCCATCCTACGGCCTCCCAGAAAAGCTTTGCAGATGGGTGGCTGACTTTATCTCTGGCCGCAAGATATCAGTCGTAATTGACGGATTCTCCTCTTCATCCCACAACGTCAACGCGGGTGTTCCCCAGGGATCGGTCTTGGCTCCAACACTGTTTCTCTTACATATCAACGACCTCCTTTCCTGCACGATCAACCCAATCCACAGCTTCGCTGATGACAGCACTCTACATGCAGGAATTCAGAGTGACAAGCCGATCTCTGCCGCTGAGCTGGAAAAAAGAAGACTAGCGACGACTTCTTCTCTGACAAGAGACCTGGAGGCTATCACTGCTTGGGGACGCAAAAAGCTAGGCTATTTGTTTAGGGCTAAGAAGTACTTTTCTCCGCATGACCTTCTCACTCTATACAAGACCCAGATAAGGCCTAGCCTCGAGTATTGCTCACACATTTGGGGTGCTGCCGCCCCGACTACATTGTCCATGCTCGATGCTGTTCAGAGGAGGGCGGTCCGACTGATCGATGACTCTTCTCTAACAGACAGTCTCGGGACTCTTTCGCACCGGCGGGCCGTCGGCGATCTAGCTCTTTTCTATCGCTACACCAACGGGCTTTGCTCCTCAGAGCTCTCTTCCATGATGCCGCCGCGCGATGTGCCTGCCAGACAGACCCGCCTGACTTCGGCGTCCCATCCTAACCGTGTCAAACTTCGTACATCCAGAACTGGCCGATACGACCGCTCCTTTGTCCCGAGGGTGTCTAGATTGTGGAACAAACTACGGGAGGAAGCTTTTCCCAGTTCTACTAACCTTAGGCAGTTCAAAAATCGTATTAACAAAATTTCTTTGGGATCATCATAGCAGCCGCGGTGTTCCGGCATTTAGGCTTCTGCCTGCGCGGCTGTTTCGATATAAAAAAAAAAAAAAAAAAAAAAAAAAACCACGTCGCCTTCTAACCCTGGCACGACCATCGTGCATGCCTAAACAAAATCGAGACTCGTCACTAAAGACAATACTGTTCCATTCCTGATCCCAGAGTGACCGTTGTCTGCACCACTCAAGGCGATTACGTCGGTGTTCTCGAGTTAAAGGGAGGACCCAGTGTGGCCGGTATGAAAATAAGCCAAAACTTCTCATTCGTCGGTAAACACTTCGCATGCCAATAGGTCTTCCGTGTTCTGCATTTGCAATGGACCTGGTAGTGGAGAAACGGTCCCTTAAGGCCAATAATCTTAGGCGGCGATCTTCACGGTCTGTTGTTCTACGGCGGCGTCCAGTGCCCCTTGCTCTTTGCGTACGGCCTTCTCGAAGCCATGCCTGACAACACCTAACCACAGTGACTACACTTCTTTGCACTCTAACTGCAATTTCCCGAAAAGAAGGTCCAGCTTCCCGACGTCCCACTATACGGCCCCTATCAAACTCACTAAGTTGACGAAATCGTACAGGTCTCCGTACTCTAGGCATCGTAACCGATCGTAAAGGATGTCAAGAACCAAAATCCGCCAACGTTGATTCTTTACTGCGGCTGAAATATTCATTTTTAGACCATTAGTGAATTAAAAAAAAGCAGTATAAAAACCGGAATGTCCAACTGATAAGGCTGAAAATTTTTTCACTTGTTATTTACAGTAAGATTAATACATTCACCAACTTTTATTAAAATAAAACCATTTAAACTGGGTGTTCGGATTTATATGTCACTCAGTATAAAAAAATCTCCTCACAGATGTTAAATAAAAATATTTGTGGTTGATACTTGCAATATATATGCAATATAGTATTTTTCACGAGTATCCATTACATCAATCGTAAGAGTAATACCCCATCTCACCATTTAACACACAGCTCTGACTGATCTGTCAATTGGAGAACTGTAGACAGAGTCGTATTTTGTTGTAGTCCTTTGAACCCTACAGATCCACACTTCCTAACAATGCTTTAATTTGCAAAAGTACCTTAGCACACAAGAAAGATGGTTTTTAAGGATCGTGACTTTACTTCAAGTCACGTAGGAATAAAACAAGATAAAAGCTTTCGACTACATATGTTTTGTATTAATGCTCCTGAATACATTCCTGAGTTTTCTTCAATGAACACCCGATTTTTTTTTATCAAAACTGCAGGCTTTAATTTTGTATCTCTTGCTGATCCGCTATTCACCTCAGTAGACATCAAAACGTAATGGATTCTTGTGGAAAAGACGATAAAAATCAACGGAAATTAATGTAAATGGCAGACATTTAGTCAATTTGAGATTAGGTACAATTTAAAAGTGACAATTCTCTTTTGATCTGACAAATGATGACACCAAAATATTTGGACCTTTAACACGCCTCGGATGACCGCATCTGACATATATTGGTATATTTCACCATAGGACCACCCATTCATTCCACTAACTGTCCAATGATATTTTCCTTTATTTTTTTCATGGCATGCGGTGCGATCGAATCAGTTACCCCCACTATGCACTTCACTCCCGACGAATAGTCTTGCTGTATATTACTTTCTAATTTTCTACAAAACTGTTGCAATGGTTTTCGAAATTACAAAAACGAGCGGAATGTCTGATCGAGAGATGACGTGAATGAGTGAAACTGAGAGTAACACAGAGGCCTGAGATAGTTGTACAATCCAAAATTATATTGTTTTATATTCCGATTTATCTGTGATTATAATGTTCTTACTTTACAAGTATTGCCACCATTCCTGAGTAACCATGATATTAATTTTATCTTAACTTGAAAATCTTCTTTCAGGACAGATTATTGCCAAGCTTCAACAATGAAATGGAAACAAATCGAAATCGCAAAAGGTAAGACAAAAAAGGATTGATCACTCCCATAAAGCAGCATACTTTATGAACTAAGATCCCATGTACAACATTGTTTCAAAGTTCCTCTATATTTCGTCTTTATCCTATGGGCATGGCCCCAGTTTGATGGGGGGCTAAATGTCAAAAAATCAAACGGAATTTGTAGAAAGATTCCTGAGTACCCACCTTCAACCATTAGTCCGACATTTGAAAGTGGATCATCAAGTTTTCAAAAATGGTTCACTAGAGGTACGAGGGTGGTTCAAATATGAACGAGACAAATGGTCTGACACGTTTATTTACTATCGAAAAAATTTACAAAAATTTACAGTTTTTCTAGGGACGTTCCCTCGTTACGCATTTTTTCCACCTTTCCGGGAGATTTTTAATGCCGGTATGGAATAATTCCTTGGGCAACTCGGACAGTCATGTGCGCACGAACTCTTCTACCTCGACGTCGTTGTCAAATCTTTGAACTCCGAGGGCTTCTGTCAGTGATCCAAACATGTAGTAGTCGCAGAGTGATAAGTCTGTTGGGAGGGTGTTCCAGTACCTTCCATCCCAATTTCGATATTGTATCGAGCCTGAGACGCCCAGCATAAGGGCGCGCGTTCTCCTGGGGAAGAATCGCACTTCTTGCTGGAATGCTTCTCCATTTCGAGCGCTAAGCGGGTTTCACTTGTGTTTTTAGAAGGTTAGTATGTAGCATTGGTGGAACGTTGGGTGCTCAGGAAGTCGACGTACAGCACGGCGAAAGCTGTCTGGTGTGATGCTGGTTCGCGGTCGACGATCATGCGGCTCATTCTCGACGGTTTCGCGGCCATCTTTGAATGCTATGGCCCATTTAAACACAGCAATCCTACTCAGGCACTCACTACAGAACTGATTTTGCAAACGCAGATAAATTTCCGTGTTTTTATTGCCTTCCCACACTAAAAAACGAATGACAATACGTTGCGCAACGGCGGTCGGCACTTGACCTTCACTCATGGTCGTTAACACGCGCGTGAAACATGCGCTTATAACGAAAGCTGTGCCACACTGTTCGTAAGGGATGCTGCTATCATATACTCAAGCCACGACCTTCAAGACATACATGCGTGCCATCTACAGCATTTGTCTCCATCATATCTGAACCGCCCTCGTATATACTCGTTTTTTGCTCGATAATTGGAAAATACGTGTATGAAATCCATACAATGAAATAGAACTCATTTAAATCATTTCATGTCGAAGGAAAAAGCCAGTAATATTTGATTTTTATTCTGAATACAGTAATAATGTGACGATTAAGGTTATTTTCCTGACGTATGTCTGATGCCTAACGTCCATAGCAGATGGAGAGTTAGAATCTAAAGACATGGTACGCAGTTTTACGTTTCAACTTTGGAGGGCAAGTTTTGCCCCTTCTCGCTCATAGAAAATAGAGCAAACACTCAAGATAAACTTTTTGGGACCAAGACACCGTTCCTCAGTAGTTTACATATTATTCTATCTACTTGGTAATTTCTGCTATACTATTCATCATTGTTCGTCAGACCGGTCCGGTGGACCTTTGCTCTTAGTTAAAAGTCTCGTCGGTTTGTTAGTTTGTCAGGTCGGGCTACCCAGATACCAAACATGTATAAAGAGAAAGAAGGAAAGAGAGGAAGGAAAAAAATAGAGTAAAGAAAAGAAGTAAATCATTTGAAATAGCTTAAGCATTATTGCTTTGACTGATCTAATAATTTTGTAACTCCAAAAAATAATGTTGATCGGGTTTGTGTACTGAAATAATTTTGGTTGGTCTGAAATTCACAATTTAATCTTGATCACAGTGCGAGGCGCTGCCTAGAATGTTTGCGAACTTGCTCGACTATCTGTGTAGTCTACTGAATCACGCAACAGAGGGCTGCTGTGCGATTCGGCTTGATTATAACGCCGCTGTGCCTGTTGTTTTACATAATCCCTTAGATATGGCATATCAAGATCTCTGTGAATGTTCTCATTTGACACGTACCAAGGGGCGTTGGTGATTGTGCGTAGGGTTCTGTTTTGCAGGACTTGCAGTCTCTGCGTGTGCATCTTGCCACCAATCCGCGCATGCTCAAGTGATTGCTGGTCTTAAGACCATTTTTTACAACCGAATCTTGTTGATCAAACTTAATTTTGAATTTCTGCAAAAAGAGAAAGTTGCCGAAAGGTAATTTGGAATTTTGTTTTCAAAATAGCAGTATGGTTTTGCCTGGCCAACCCCTTGTCAATGATGACTCCAAGGTACCTGACAGATTGCTCCCATTGTATACGAGTTCCATTCACTGATATATTTGATGGGGCACCGCGACGTTTTTTTAGTACAATAGATTGCCTGCGGTTTCAAAGTATTAATATTGATCAATCACCGATCCGCCCTCTAAAATACTTCCTGCACCGCACTCTGCAGCCTGTCGTGAACCAGGTTACCAGAACGAGACTGGGCTAGCAATGCAGTGTCGTCAGCATAGAGATAGACTTCACAGTTGCTTGGGGCAAGAGACGTCATGTATATAAAGTGAATAAAGGATTGCTCCTAAGACCGAACCTTGAGGAACACCGGTGTTGTTGACAAAACATTGTTAATTTTGATCCGAAAGTTCCTTCTTTCTAGAAAAGATCTCAACAGTTTTAGTAACCAAAATGGATAACCCTTTTGGATGAGCTTATACAAGAGGCTCATGTGCCACACCTTGACAAATGCCTTTGATACATCCAAAAGCAAGATACCGGTACTTTTGTTGAGGGTGAACCCCCTGGTTGCATGCTCCACCAGTCTAACTGCGTACTAAGCTCACACCGAAAGCACATCATTGCTCGTGATCTGATGAGAAATTCCCAAGATGGCGATAAATCACCTTTTCAGCTAGCTTAGTAGCTTAGAAGGAGCTGGCAGTAGGCTAATGGGACGGTTATCCTGGGGAATATCGAACCTACCTTCTTTGGGATCATGATGACTTGAGCGATCTTCCACGTCTTGAGAAAGTACTGAGTTCTGAGCATTGCATTGATATTATTGCCACCAGATAAGTCAAAGCCTTGGGCGAAAGCAACTTCAGTGCTTTGTTCGTGATTTGATCCTCTCCAGGTGCTTTACGCACCTTTAGGTGCTTAATGTGGCCGGCTGGTGTGCAAAACGGAATCACCGAGGATTTCGCTGATGTGCTATGCAGATATTCATCTGAAGAGTATTCCGTAGAAGAATCCTCTAAAAAGGAGTCTCCGATGTTAGCACTGACGTTGTCGCCATTCACTCGGAAGTATCTCCTGACAGATCTTACAATTTGTCGTTCCTCGTCAAGGTCATTGTCCAGATCATAATTGGGAGAGAACTGCCTTTCCATGACGTCAGCAAAAACCTCCACTTTATCATCAGTCTTCAAAACTGTGCCTCCAGGACAATGAATATGTGGTAGTTGTTCTTGCCTTCCATTTCCGAGTGATTTTGCCACTTTCCAGAGAGGAATACTTTAGTCAAGCATCCCCGCCAGAAAATCGCTCCACTGCTCTTTGCGAAATTCATGGAGTGCATTTCTCACTTCATGGACAAGATTCGTCGCTCTAGGGATGTCATCAGGACGATAAGACCTTTTTGCTTGCTTAATGGCAGCCCTCTTGTCAGAAATTTTCCAACGGATGTCAGCAGGGGGAAGTAATTTCTGCTGTGGATCATGCAAAATACATACATTGTTGTATAATGCTGAGTATGAGCAACTTTATGATGCTCTCTTGTCATTACATATCCTATTTGATAAGAATTTAGTCATAACTGGGTATTTCAACATAGCTGGATTCATTTCATATGATGATAATATTGGACGCAACACAAAAGTTGTATTCTTGAACAACTTTGCCGAGTATGTAAAACTTTCCGATTTACAATTCTCCGCGAAATACTTTGGGAACGTGCTAACTGGGCTGCAATCCGCCTAGTGCTTGTATTGGGATCATCCAACGCCAAATTAATCACTTCCACTTCCTCTTGAGCGGTATGCCGCACACCATGGCCTCTAACTCCGGGAAGTTTGGCAATTCCATCTTGCCGAAGTCTCAGAAATGAACGCGTGAAAACGTTTGGGTTGGTTGGCGTCTGTTAGGAAATCTACGTTGATACTCCCGAGAAGCCACTAAAGCATTTCCATTACGATAACAACCGTATAACACATAACTTTGACAAACACTCTCAAGAAACGTCAAGTTGGTATCAAGGCCTCCTATTTTATTTTGAAACTAATTGTCGGCTCTTCATAAATCATCCAATTTATTTTATTTTTATTTTTACATATAAAGTGCACTCTAGGAAAAAACACAAGAGTAATTATTTGCATTAAATTGAAGGTAAAATTCGAAAAGTTCCGCGTTTTGAAAAAAAAAACTGGCGTACTATTTTTATTTGGAAAAATAATTCCACTAATCCCCTTTATCTCCGCCACTGGTAAACGTAAATTTTAAGTAAATACTTTTGAATATGAACAATACTTAGGCAAATGCACATACCAAATGTTAGTTCATTCCAGTTGACGATTTTGATGATATTAAAAAAATGTTTTTATTTTTAAACTTCAACACCTCATATCTTTTTAATGAAGCCCTCGAGGGAAAAATGTTACTTAGAAGACCCGCCCTTATACATTAATTCACAATCAAAATGATAAAATTAAAGTGAAAGATACTTATTTTGGTTGAGAAATTATATAAAATGAGCTATTTGAAGTCATCCTCGAATTTCATTAATATAATCAGGTGGGCGCGATATTATACTTACTTCGAAGTTGAGTCATTTATTTTAACAGTGAGTAGATCTGATCAAAAGAAATGTTTTTTTCCTTTACCATTTTCCTGGTAAAATTAAAGTAACAAAGTTATAGCCCTTTGGAAGTTTGAGTACCGCCCTGTCTCAATAACAATATTATGTGGTCGTGTTTGGCGACAACGGATATAATCCGCCGTATCGGTTCATCGCATCGGAAACAAAAAAGCGAAAGAAT